GCTTCACAGCTGTTTCATATCCTATTAGCATATATTCCATCCCAATCAGTGCACAGTAAAATACAAGAGCTTCTCTTAGTTGTTTGCTCTCAATGGTAGGGGTCTTGCCCAAGAATCTTAGGAGTCGAGGCTGAGACTCTTCTACAGAGATTCTCAGTAACTCTTCCTGGACTCCTTTCTCTCTCATATCCTTCTGTTCCCATCTGGTATGCTGAGTGATACAGTAGGGTTCCTTGTACCAGGATGTAAACCAGCTGCAGAGCTCTGTCACCTGGCAAAAGGGTGGAACAATCATCTGAAGTGCTAAGGAAGCAACTACTGAATACACCCTGCTGAGGTGTTTCAGGCTCTGTCCTGAGACAACCCCCCTCTCCTTCGGACAATGGGATCCAGGTCCAAGAACTGATCCAGGTCTGGAAACTGGAGTAGTGATTCACTTGGTTTCTTTTTCAGTAGTGGAACTGGAAAGGAGAGCCTGGTATCTTCTAGGCAAGTCCTCTACCACTTGAGCCATGCCTCCAGCCCTGTGTTTTGTTTTTGAGATAGGGTCTCATTAACTTTGCCTGATCTGGCCGAGAACTCAAGATCCTCCTGTCTCTCCCTCCTGAGTGGCTGGGATTACAAGATTGACCCACCATATCCAGTTGAATGGCTTTCTACTAGAGCAGTTACCCTCAAGCCTCCAAACTATCCATTCTCGATTCTTTGTCATATTACAAAATTGATATGTATTAAGATATGAAGATGGCCTTTATCCTGCCTCTAGGAACATTGTTATATTTCTGTGGAGTTGGTCCCTGAATATCACCACAGACTTGCTCCTTATTGTGATAATTATGTTCACCTTGCTTCTGACAATTACTCTGTATTTTCAGGACCCTATCATCTTATTTATGAAGCCCAATGGGTCCTCTGAAACAACCCCCAGACCACAGTTGGCTGGTGGGTGTTCCGTCTCTACATAGTGTGCGTACAGCAGCATGCCCATCTCTCTGGGAAGTTTGATACATCTGTGATGGAAACTGTAACATTTCCACTTCACTTAGCATGGGCTATTGCTTCTACCAGGTTTGGAGGAGCCATCCTAGTACTTAGGTCCCTGTTAGGACAGTAAATCTTGTATTCTGGAGTAAGTCCTCCCATTATCAACAAACTCTCTTATTCCATGTTAGCTGGTCTTCTCCGTGACTGTAGTGCTAGGTATGAAAATGAGCCAGTATTTTTTTCTTTATGTGTGCAAAAGCTTGCTATAATCATTCTCTTCCCTTCAATAAAGGATTACCTAGCAGGAATACAGGGTCAACTGTTATATCCCAAGTCAGATTCTGAGGTCGAGGTGAATGGCAATACCACTGTCTTCCAGAAACCTGCCATCTATAATAATCTATTGTATTACTTTTGATCTAACTTTAAAGATCAATCTAAAAAAGCTCCATGCTTTGTTTTCAATACATCAAATATGTCTCCTAATTTGAGATTGATGGCTTAGTATTTGTGCTAACTTAAAACTGTAGGTTTTATTGTGAAATACACATTCAGTGGGGGAGGCAGGAAGTAAGAGGAGTACACGTTTCTAGTCTCCATAACAAAATGATGATGGTTTTCTGTTGATATTGTTGTCTCTTATTTTTCTAAGTGAATTTCTTTCTGTAAAAACCTTATTTACCTGGGCTTCTTCTCCAAACACTATTTACCAAAGTGAGACAGAGGGTAGACAAAGGTAACCTATGAAGCACGTATATGCCCAGCTGGGGGTGTAGTGTATTCCACAAGGGCACCAGTTCTTCTTAGTACCATAGTATACATGTTAAGCATCATGGATTTGCATATTTACAAAGGGAATTTTCCAGTAGATGGCAGTAAAGTGTCTTCCTTTATCAAAACAAGACTATTACAACAATTATTTGCCAGATAGAAATAACATGTCTTAGGACTGGGCACCATTTTTGATTCACTCAATGGTACCATGGAGACAAATGGTGACACTGCTTCCTGGATGTCATGCCCTATGCTCACTCATTGCCATTTAATCTTTAGGACCCTGTGATGTGGATGCTGGTAGGAACTTGAACAAGGCTACTGACTCTGGCTATAGGAGTTTGGCGATTCCAAATTATCTGTCTCTTTTCCTTCTACACCCAACCCTGATGGTTCAGAAAACTAAGGTGTAAGTACTTGAAGTGACTTGACCATGGTGACCAACGCAAGTCAGCGGCACATCTGAGAGCCTGACTCCAGCCAGCCTGCACTATTTTTACAATATATACTAGATCCACCGCCATGCTGGGTGACACTGGTGACTGAAGAGAACAGCACACATTTTACTCATCTAAGAAAAACGTGACTTTTGAGTTAGCAAACAACAGCAACACCACCTGGGAAAATAATGACTTTCCTCTTGACCTTTTAGAAATAATATTTGAGCTCAGCACTGGTAGCTCACACCTATAATCCTAGCTACTTAGGAGGCTGAGATCTGAGAATTGCAACTCAAAGCCAGCTCAAAAAAGCTAGAAGTAAAACTGGCTCAAGTGACCCTTGAGGTTCAATCAAGCCCCAGGACTGGCACGTGCACACAAGCGCACACACACGCACACACACTCACACACACAAACACACACACACACACACACACACCCCAAAGTTACAGCATCAAAAAATCTAATTTTAAATGTTAAAAGTTTTTCCAGGCACCAGTGGCTCATTCCTAGCTACTCACTAGGCTGAGATCTGAAAAGAGCAATTCAAAGCCAGCCCTAACAGGAAAGTTTGTGAAACCCTGATCTCCAATTAACCACCAAAAATCCAGAAGTGGAGCTGTGGCCAGGCCCTGAGTTCAAGCTCCAGTAGTGGCAAAAACAAAAACAAACTTTTGATAAACAGGTAAATGCAATAGTTGTAAGAATGCCACTTGATCCTTTTAATCTCTGAAGCAAAATAACTACAAATCAGCATTTCCTAAATGGCCAAATAAAAGCCTCAACATTTGCTAGCACCTACCTTAATCAAATTGTTGTATATCTGAAAATAGGGAAAAATTCATCCTTCCGTTTCTAAACTTGGCATCATAAAAATGGCCTCTTCATGTTTAGGAACAAGCAAACCTTTCTTTTTTTTTCTTTTTTCTTTTTGTGTTTTTGTTTTTTCCCCATGCTGGATCTTGAACTCAGGCCTTAGTGCTGTTCCTGAGCCTCTTTGTGCTCAAGGCTGGCATTCTACCACTTGAGCCATAGTGTCACTTCCAGCTTTTTTTGAACAGTTTATTGGAGATAAAAGAGTCTCATGGACTTTTCTGCCTGGGTTGGCTTCATTCTTTCTTTAAAGAAAAGGCTTTCTTGGGCTGGGAAACTGGCTCAGTGGTTGAATGCTTGCCTCGCATGCATGAGGCCCTGGGTTCGATTCCTAAGCACCACATAAACAGAAAAAAAAAGCCAGAAGTGGTGCTGTGGCTCAAGTGGTAGAGTGCTAGCCTTGAGCTGAAGAGCTGAGGGATGGCGCCTAGACCTAGAGTTCAGGCCCCATGACTGACAAACAAAAAAAAAGGCTTCCTTTTGAAAGGGTTAACAGATCAATGTCCTATAAATATGAAGTTGTCATTTGTTTTTATGGGCTAAATTAAATTTGTGCACTGTGTCTTGTGGCCATTCTATTCCATGTCTGAGAAAATGTGTATTAAAAAGCGCCATGAGGACAGGAAATAGTTTTGCTTTACCAGAAATCATCTAAACTCCACTCATCTAAGAGGGGGAAAGCCTGGGGGTTACTACACAATTGCTGTCCACAATGTGTAAGCTGTCCTTGATGATCCTATTTCCTCCACGTCCTACCAGGTTTGTGTAGAATGGAGTTCACTGGTACATGCACCATGCAGGCCATGTTCCTAAGCATGTTACGAGTACATGAGCAAGCTTTATCACCTTAACTACTTAACAAAGTAGTGACTGGACACAGGTTTCATCATTCCATTCTGAAAGACATTCATTCATTTTACCAGATTTCATTCCCACCGCGGTTATACTGATGGCATCTGTTACAAAAGGTCCAACCAATTCTATCCCTGAAATGAAGCTTAACAGCAGTTGTTCACATAAGTCAGGGATCTTTGTAAGAGTTAAATAAGTAGTATGGGTCAGGTGCAGGGGAACAGAGGTTTGTTTGCACTGAGAAATGGGGCTGACAAAATTCAAACCAGGAGTGAAAATACCAGAGGGATATTACCAATGACACTACTTTGCTCTCTGAACAATTTTTTTTCTTAAAAGAATTTCATATAGGCCTTTCAGAAATAAAGTAGTAACTTCTCCCAGTGCTCAAGAGGTAGAAACTGGGAGGTTGGAGGTTCAAGGCTAGCTCAGGCAAAAGTTTGTAAGACTCCCAATCTCAAAATGCTGGGCGTGGTGGTGTGTGCCTGCCATTCCAGATGCATGAGAGGTGTAAAATGAAGTATCACATGCCAGGCCAGCCTGAACAAAAACTTTGAGACTCTATTTGAAAATTAACTAAAGCCAAAAGGGCTAGGGGGTATGGTTCAAGTAATAGCTCACTTGCCTAGCAAGCTCCAAGACCTGCGTTCAAACCCCAGGACTGCCATAAAATAAAAAAGGAAAAGAAACATTTGTAGCAGATATATTTAGCACATACATGACCAAATTATGCCCAGCTATCTCAGCCTCCTGAGTAGCTAGAATTACAGGCGGTGAGATACTAGCACCCAGCATACAAAAAGGTTTTATGATGAAAATCTTAAAGATGCAGCAAAGCTATGTACTATTGGGAAATAGTGATGACAGAGAAGTCCAGAAAATTGCCAAAAGGTAAGTTTCCTTTTGAGGAGGGGAAAAAAGTGCAAGAAGGAAATGTGCAAACAAAGCCCACTGGGCTGACCATAGCCTAGGGGCTCTTCAGGTGCTCCTGCCCTTGCTCCCCAGGAACATCCAAAACACACCGTACAGAAAGGACAAGCCTAAAGCTGTTTTAAAACTTTATTGAAATCCATTTTTACTTTCAGCTTCTTTTTATTTTATTTCATTACAACTTCTTAATAGGAAAGTGTTTGTAAAGCCTGAGCCAGGTGATATCTTCTCAATATTTTTTTCCTTAAATTCCTGAAAATGTGACTTTTGAAGTTTGGGGAAGGTAAAGTTTGGTCAAAGGAATACTGAGGACTCGCTTAACATGCCTGCTTCCTTAGACAAGAGACCTTTCCATGAAAATGCAGGACAGTGTTGCAAGGTACAGTGTTCAATACTGAACTGTGACATCTTCCAGCCAAGAAAGATCAGGTAGGGTGAGAAGAAAGAAAGTCTCAAAAATCTGGTGGTGAAGAGAACCTTCCTAAGTTAGGAAAATGTGACAAGTTATCCCCAGGCTCTGTGTTTCTTAATGTGTGTATGTGATCAGCCTTAAGAGCTCTTTCTAGAACACTGAATTTATGTCATCACTTTCCTCTTTCATCTCTTCCTCTTCTACATCCTGCTGTGTAATAGCTAAGGCCTATGCATATTTCCTAATTGGCCAAAATAAGGGTTTCTAAACACCATCATTTACCTATTGAAGGGGAGGGGTGTATTGTGTATTTGATTGTGGTCTTAGTAGAAAATAACATGTACCTTAAACCCCATTAGTGTCTTTAAATCTATCTTTAGAGCAAACCCTATACATGCAAATGATTCTCAATGGTTCCTTATGTATTCAAGTTACTAATTTCTAAAGCATCACAAAAACTTCAAATATTATCTAAAGGTATTTCATGTTGAATGAAACTGGTATGTACTTAATTCAGATACTTCAAACTTTAACGATTGTTATTCATTCTCTGTGGTAAATATAAGTATAAAAATACAACTTTGTTTAATTAATAATTGGTTGATAGCTGTCCACCCTCTGCAGAAGTGTATCTGAATATCCAGGGGAATAGTACCTGAAAAAGAAAATTTGCTATTAGGTACTTAATGGAAAGATTTTACACAGTAAGCATAAAAGATTCTATATAAGGAATATATTGAAGTAATTTTCTAAATGAAGCCTCACTTATACATGTATGATTATGTTATAATGCTTTATGCATAAAGGTAGAAACTAGAGGAACTAATAACACTGCTAGAGAAGCAGTAGAATATCTTAAGGGCATGTTTTCCAAGCAGGAACCTCAATCCAGTGGCAACATTTAATTACAGAGACACTTTATTATATCAAGTGACTATGTTACTATAAAGACCATAGCTGATTTTTTTAGATAGTGCAAACTATCATTGCTGATCAACTTCTGCATTCTGGTTGTCTTAAAAAATCATTTGTATATTTGTTTCTGTTTTTGCAGTACCAGGGTTCGGATTCAGGTACTGAAGCTTAGGTGCTCTTATTGCTATGGCACACCTCTAGCCCTGATTTTGTTTGTGTGTGTGTGTGTGTGTGTGTGTGTGCTAATCATTTTTGAGGTTGTGTCTCATTTCCTGCCTGGGCACATGCATGGGCATGATCTCTGCCTTGTTAGGCTTCAGGGCAGCTAGGTTAACAGGCCTGATCCAACACAGCTAGCTCAATGTTGAGAAGAGTTCATGAACCTCTCTGCCTGAGCTAGCCTCAGACCTCCTAAGCAGCTATGCATTAGCCACTAGCACCTGGCTAAAAATCATTTCTCTTTTCTTTCTTTTTCCCCCCTACTACTGCCTTTTGAACTGTGGGCCTCCTACTCACTTTACTTTCTTGCTATATTGCTGTTCTGCCATTTGAGCTACACCTCCAGCTCAACTTCGTGCTTTGGAGATAGACTTTTCTATCCAGGGTGACTTCAAACCATGATCCTCCAGATCTCAGCCTCCTGAGTAGCTAAGATCACAGATATGAGCCACCAATGACCTGTCAGTCGTAGGTCTTGAACTCTGGGATTGGGCACTGTCCCTCAGCTCTTCAGCTCAAGGCTAGTGCTCTACCACTTGAATCAAAGTGTCACTTCCAGTTTTCTGGTGGTTTATTGGAGATAAGAGTCTCACGGATTTTCCTGCCCAGGCTGGCTTTGAACCATGATCCTCATATCCCAGCCTCCAGAGTAGCTAGGATTACAGGTGTGAGCCTCTGGCAGCTGCCTACCCATCATTTCTTTCTTTCCTTCTTTTTTAAATTCGGTTTATTCACAGTCCAAACTAAAGTATGGAAGTACTGTACCCGGGATTTTCACTGTACCTTTGGCAGTTTTAAGAGCAAGGAGGACAGTACAGGTTAATTTTTTTTTTCTTTTCTTGGTCAGTCATGGGGCCTGAACTCTGGGCCTGGGCGCTGTCCCTCAGCTCTTCAGCTCAAGGCTAGTGTTATAGCACTTGAGCCACAGCACCACTTCCAGCTTTTTCTGCTTATGTGGTGCTGAGGAATTGAACCCAAGGCCTCAAGCATGCAAGGCAAGCACTCTACCAACTGAGCCACTTTCCCCGCCCTAGTAATAATTTCTTAATATCTGGTTTAACCAGATCTAACCACCCCCATAGGAACAAAAAAATTTGGAGAAATATAGTTAACATTGAAAAATTATTTTATAAATGGTTTACAAATATCCCTATCATTAAAAACATAAAAATCGAATCATTTCATTGGTTCTTTAGCTTATATAGTGCTATACATGTACATAAAATAGTTTTAAAATAGTATGTTGATTAACAATTATGAGATGCTTGATATGCCAAGCATACATATTAAAAGTATGCCAAATAAATTTGTCGTGCCCACTTATTGATAAGTTTCTTCGAGGATTTGTTTTTTGAGGGGGGCGGTTAATTTTTTTAGCTTTAAGTATATTTTAGTTATGAGGCCCTTGCCAGATATATAGCGATCTTCTCCCAGTATGTGTGCTTTCTATTCATTCTGGTAACTATGTTCCTTTGCCATGCAGAAACTCGCAGGTTAATGCAATCCTCTTTATCCAGCCTTTCTTTGACTTATTGTGTTTCTGGATCTTTAGTTAGGAATTTTTGACCTGTGCCACGAAGCCCTAGGGTTTTCCTTTTTCTTTTTGTAATATTTTCAGGGTATCTGGTCTTACTTTGAAGTCTTTGATTAAAAAGAAAATTGCTATGCAATCTAGAATATAATAGATTTTAAAAATAAAAAGAATGTAATTTTTTTTTTGGTCAGCTCAAAGCAAGTGTTCTACCACTTGAGCCACAGCACCACTTCTGGTTTTCTGGTAGTTAATTGGAGATAAGAGTCTCACAGACTTTCCTGCTGCTGGCGCTGGCTTTGAACTGTGATCTCAGTCTCCTGAGTAGCTAGGATTACAGGCGTGAGCCGCCAGTGCCTGGCTCAGATGAGTTTCTCAGTGAAGAATTCCACAGTGCAATAGTTTGGGTGGGAACCCAGAAAACTTTCGTGTATCTCTGAGTTCTGTGTCACCCACCTTACTTAACAAATATGGAAGAAGTTGGTATGAGGCAGATTAGGAAAGAATATAGACCTGGGTAAAGGTAACTTAAAAAAGGCAAATCATCACCCTAACATTAGGTTTTATCTAGAGGAAAACTTTCAAAGACTTTACTTTGTATAGTGTTTGGAAAATTTTAAAATTACAATTGTAGCTGAGTGCCAGTGGCTCACGCCTGTAATCCTAGCTACTCAGGAGGCTGAGATCTGAGGATCGTGGTTCAAAGCCAGCCTGGGTAGGAAAATCCATTAGATTCTTTTTTTTTTTTTTTCCAGTCATGGGCTTGAACTCTGGGCCTGGGCGCTGTCCCTCAGCTCTTCAGCTCAAGGCTAGCACTCTACCCCTTGAGCCATAGCACCACTTCCGGCTTTTTGCTTTTTGCTTATGTGGCGCTGAGGAATCGAACCCAGGGCCTCATGCATGCAAGGCAAGCACTCTACCACTGAGCTACCTTCCCAGCCCAAAATCCATTAGATTCTTATCTCTAATAAAGACCACCAGAAAACCTGAAGTGGCACTGTGGCTCAAGTGGTAGAACACGCACCTTGAGCTGAAGAGCGGAGGAACAGCGCCCAGGCCCAGAGTTCAAGCCCCACGACCGACAAAAAAAAAAAAAAAAAATCATCTAAGTCATAAATGTGAAAGCTAGCCTCACCATTCAAAGCTCCTCAGAAGGTAGCTATTATAAAATATCTACCTTAGTGTATGAGATATTAAAAAATCTTTAAAGCTGGGCACCCGTGGCTCATGCCTGTAATCCTAGCTATTCATGAGGCTGAGATCTGAGGATCATGGTTCAAAGCCAGCCCAGCCAGGAAAGTCCGTGAAACTCTTATCTCCAATAAACCACCAGAAAATTGGAAGTGGTGCTGTAGCTAAAGTGGTAGAGCACTAGGCTTGAGCAGAAGAGTTGAGGGACAGTGCTCAGGCCCAGAGTTCAAGACCCACAACCAAAAAAAAAAAAAAAACTTTAAAATTTATACTGCTGAATATGGTACTAGTTACATGTGACCCCCAGAAATGTGACTAGCATGTTGAAAGAATGGATTTCTATTTTTTTAATAATTTTTATATTTCATTTATCTCAAATTTTAAAACACTTCAATTATTAGAAAACACGGATAAATTGGAATAAGTTAAGAGTCTGCTTTTATATAAGTTTTATATAATCTAAATATAGGTCAAATATTTCCAATGAAACTTACCATCTGAAATAAAACATATTTAGATTGATAAAATGTTATAAAATATAGAATATAAATTTTAAAATAGAAGTGTAAAATATGATAAAGTACTATAAAATGTAAACTAACTCATTCTAATTGTTATATTTGTTGCAAGTGGAAATTACAATGCTTGGATATATTAGATTAACAAAAGCATACCATCCAAAATGTGCTTAGCTTGGTTCATTTTTTTTGTTCTTAAATGTGGCAATTGGAAAATTTGAAAGTTATGTATATGGGTCACATTATTATTACTTGTTTTATTTTATTCTTTAGTTTGGTTTAGAGACTGGACTTGTTCTGTAGCCTAGGTTGGCCTCCAACTATGATCCTCCTGCCTTGGCCTCCTGAATGCTGAGGTTACACTACCACTATATCCAGCAATTTTTTTCTTTTCTTACAGATGGACCTCAGTTCTTGTCCATGCTAGGGAAGGACTAAGCTACATTCTCAGACTCACCATATTTCTATTATACATTATCGCTCATTTCCATGCCAACTGCTATTACCATTTCCCAAAGATCTCAGCGATTTCTCTGGCATATTGCAAGTGTTAGTCAAGCAGTTCTTATATGTTTCCCAAAATATACTTACTATTCAATACTAAGATACCTGAATGTCATAAACATTAACATAATTTTTCATATTTAGGTAAGAACTTTCTTTTGTTACTAAATTTCTCTTATGATACATCCATTAATATAATATGAACTATGTAAAAGTAATATACAGGAAACTATGAAAATTAGAATTTAGGCTGAGTTCCAGTGACTCAAGCCTATAATCCTAGCTACTCAAGAGGCAGGGATCTGGAAAATCATGGTTCAAGGCCAGCCCAGGCAAAACAGTCCATGTGACTCCAAGTGCAAAATATCCAGCAAAAAGCCAGCAAGAAGCATGGCTCAAACAATAGAGTACCAGCTGAGCACAAAGAGCAAGTGCAAACCCCTGTACCATCAAAAAACAACCAAAAAAAGATGAAATAAAATAATTAGGATTTATAGGCCTCTTCTAAATAGAGCAATCACAATTTTAAAACTATCAGTTTAATTTGAATTATGTTGGGGCATTCTACAGTAAAGTGTAAATGTTGAATTTATATAGAAATATCTTAAATGACATTCCAGACTGATTTGGAAATGTCTGTGTCAATGGAAACATCAACACTAGCCGGGTGCTGGTGCTCACACCTGTAATCCTAGCTACTCAGGAGGCTGAGATCTGAGGATTGTGGTTCAAAGCCAGTCCAGGCGGGAAAGTTCATGAGACACTTATCTCCAATAAACCACTCAGAAAACCTGAAGTGGCGCAGTGGCTCAAGTAGCAGAGTGCTAGCCTTGAACTGAAGAGCTGAGGGACAGCGTTCGGTCAGGCCCAGAGTTCTGGCCCCATGACTGACAAAAAAAAAAAAAAATCATCACTTAATTTGTACCAGGAAAAAGAAATCAAGAAGAAGTGAGAATATGCACTGGCCAGTACTATGTCAAAGTGCACCTTCTGACACAGTAATATTAATCTCCATTTGAAAACCAAAAGGCTTCACAAAAGTCCATTTTCCCTACCTTACTATTTCCTCTGGGTAGCAATTGTTAATACTGTTGATGTATTCCTGAAGGATAGAACCTGGTTCTGCTTTTATCTCTTGAACCTTCTTAAGTCCACCACTTGTCACAAAAAGTCGCCGAGCTTTGCTATCATGTGGAAGCACCTAGAATCATGAAGCACATGAGAAAGTCAGCACACGTTAATTACTGTGATTGCAAAGCACCCAGCCTCCTCAATAGCCACCAATCTACACCCTCAGTTTTGTTTAAATAGCGTCAGAGCATGCAAGTGGTGCCATTCCTGGCCTTGCCCTTGCTGTTTCCTCTTATTAGAATGCTCATCCATGAGACCCCCACCCTGTTTTGCCTGATTCTTATTCCTTATTTAAAACACTGCTCAACTCCAGAGACCCAGTGCCTGGCATTCTAAAACCTGTCAAGCTCTGGGTCATAGATCACATGAATCCAAAGCTCACGCAGGAACAGTAAGAAACCCATGGGTAGCAGGAAGGCTGGCAAATGTAGGTTTTAGATTCTACATAGTGAAGGCGATAATCACAATGTAGGTTTGGACAACCACAGATAACATCTTCCCAACACGATGTATATACTCTATAGCTCTGTCAATACTGATATCTGACACAGGAGATGAGTAGATCAAGATCCCCCTTTAAGACTGGGGAACACTGCCCTTGAAGACAAAGACTAACAGTTCTTGGCAATAAGCTTGCTTTTGACAACATTCTAGGCAATGCTACCCCAAGTATTGTCCTAGGCCAGGGTAGGTGAATGCATTATCAGTCCTCAACCACGTCAGCACAGAAATGAAATATGCTTTTAGAAACATGGATACAAATTGACAAAGTAACTTTATATCCTTTAACCCCAATAATTAAACATAGGGAGCCAGGCCTGGTAACACATGCCTGTAATACTAGCCCTTGGGTGACTGAGGTAGAAGGATCTTGAGTTCTAGACCAGCATGGGCTGCATAATGGCAAGATCATGTCTCAGGGAAGAAAAATAACCCGTGTGCTGATGGCTCACACCTGTAATCCTAACTACACAGGTGGCTGAGATCTAAGGATCATGGTTTAAATCCAATCTGGGCAAGAAAGTCTGTGAGACTCTTATCTCCTATAAACTACTCAGAAAAACCTGGAAGTGTGGCTCAAGTGGTAGAGAGCTAGCCTTAAGCACAAAGAGGCTTGGACAGTGCCCCAGGCCCTGAGTTCAAGCCCTAGGACAGGCAAAAAGAAAAAAGAAAAAGAATAAAACTGGGTGAGGGCAAGCCTTGAAGAAAATAAGGTTGGGCATGATCCAAGAGGCAGAGGGGAAAGGAACATGAGTTCTAGGTTGGCCTGGACTACATAGCAAGTTCCAGGCCAGATTGAGCTATGTAGTGAGACTCTGTCTCAAAAACTCAGGGGCTGAAGCCAGTGGGTCCTGCTTATAATCCTAGCTACTCAGAAGGATCACAGTTCAAAGCTAAGCTTGGTAGGAAAGTTTATGGGACTCTTCATTAAACAATCAAAAAGCTCTAAGTAGAGCTATGGCTCAAGTGATGGAGCATCATCCTTGTACTCAGTGTCCAGGACTGGCAAAACAAACAAAAGGCTATAAGTATAGCTAAATGGCTGATTGCTCATCTAGTAAGCATAAGGCCTTAGGTTTGGTTTGATGCCTAATACTTGGGAGTGTGAGAGCTTGAAGGACATAGAAATTGTGCCTAAGGTAAATATTGCCAAAAGCATATTTACAGGATATATGATATGACATACTGTTTTCAGTTAGTTGACCTTAACTTTTTTATTTGCCTGTTTTGAACTTTTAGCATTGGTTAGTGCTCATTTTCATAATTAGTCTGATAAAATTGGAATATCTTGCTTAAGCCTAAAATGATTACACTACAAATGAAACTGTTGGAAATAATGTCAATTACCCAATTTTAAGAGTTAGGCACTGGTGGCTCACACCTGTAACCTTAGCTACTCAGGAGGCTATGATCTGAGGATTGCAGTTTAAAGCCAGCTGGGAGAAGGAAAGGCCATGATATTCTTAGCTAAAATTAACCATCATAAAGCTGGAATTGGAGCTGTGGCTTAAAGTGGTAGACCCCCTAGCCTTGAGTGAAAAAAAAACTCAGGAACAGTGCCCAGACCCTGAGTCAAGACCCCATGACCAACCAAAGGAGGGAAAAAAAAGTTGATGATTCTATCTAGGTTATCTATTAGTCCCTATTCCTTCTTTTTAGATGTTCAAATTAGCCAGTTTTTTTCTTAGCACCCAAAAGCACACCTAGGTAAAGAAACGGATCAATTTTCCCTTTCCATGAGTTTGTCTTTTCCCTGCATTATTAGTTGGTTTTGTCCAGGAGCAGACAATATATCTGCATGTCCCATGTAACTGAGAGGAAAGGAAATTTGGTTGATTTCTTGAAAGGAAGGAGACACAGCATAGGTGTCTGTTACACAGAATATTGTCTTCAGGGGTCAACAATAGAAAACTTCTATTTTCCAGTAACTGTGGTGCTTGAGGCTGAGCCAAACTGTTGGAGACAATGAAGGAAAGTCCAGAGAACAAAGCTGTGAGTAGTTCTTTTAGATGAATACTCAGAAACTTCCAGCTTAACTGGAGGGACATCTTTTCAAAATAATATATGTGAGAACTCAGGTTCCATCTCTAGAACCCAAAAGAATTTTTTTTAGGAAAAAAAAAACAACAAAGAATTACAGCTATTAAGCAGGAAATCCAAGCCCTCTAACTTATGAGCCTATACACACAATGTGATATACACACAACTTGTAGAGACACCACTTTCCTAAGTCAAATATACAGAGCAGCATTTAGGCGGTTCCTGATAGCACGGTGTCACCATCCTGACCATGGGCGACTGTGTCATCTGTCATTGCACCCCTTGCTGCCAAGTCCCCAGCCCCAGGCTAGGCCCTGCTTCATCTTTCTGCCTTCCTACCACTTGCATCCACTTCTGAGAGAGTGGACAGCTACATTTGTTAAAGTTGCTCTGAAAAGGAGTCAGTGTTCTAAATGACTACTGAGAGCATCTCCAGTGCAGCAAGGACTTTGTGAAAACATGTCAGTGGCTCAGAGACCCCTGTCCTTTCTTTATAAGATCTTTGCTGTATTCCCCAGGTGAGTGAGACTAAGAGACCCTGGGAAATTTACTGAAAGACACTTATGGATACAAATTATCCATATCATGACTTTTTTTTTCACATGTTGACGTTCTGTTTACTTTCTGAGAATTAAAAAAAATCAGGGTGGGGGCTGAGAGAAATGTGAAGAAAGAAGTGTTTCATTTACTGCCGCACTTAATTCACCTTTGCTACCACTGTCAGTGTAGACTGGGGAGAGATTGGTTATAAAACATGAGCTCCAGCTTACAGAAGAAAATGGGAGAAACAAGTTAACAGATCATTTTCATGCCGTCCCCTCACACAGGCTCCAGGGCATGGCCTACCTTACTGAACTGCCCAACTACATGCTTCAGAATGTTGGGTGGAGCGTCATACAGGAACGGCTCGAGGGCTGGTAGGTAGGTGCACTTCTGCAGGATATTCTTGATGGCTTTTTTACTCTATGGGAATACAAAGCAAAATGCAGAAAAACTGGATAGGAGTGAATTGTGCAGCTCTTAAAATATCTAAAAATATAAATTAAAATCTAAATGAAAAGAAGTGTAGACCATAAAACTATATATTATATAATAGTTATAGATTACAAATTTATATATAATAACATTTTCTCTATATGAAGTAGATAACTATTACATCTTATTGCTTCCAGTTAATAGTTATGTGAAGATAACTTACTGGTGAATATCTTTATTAGGAATTATATATACCTGTATGTACAATACAGATGTACACACATATGTAATGTACATATACATACATATATAGGGTATTTTAAATATTTATACTTTTTTTGTAGTACCAAACTTTGAGTACAGGGCCTCACATTTGCTAGGTAGGTGCTCTACCATGTAAACCATTCCCAGCCCTTTTTTATTTTTGCTATTTCTTTCATAGAGTCTTCATTTTCCCCACGGCCAGCATCAGACTGTGAAGCTGAGGACAAGTGTGCACCATGACCCTCAACTTGTTGGTTAAGGTAGGGGAGGTCTCATTAACTTTTTCCCCTAGCTATGATTCTCCTGATCTCCTCCCTAGTAGCTCATTGCAGATTTGAACCACCATTCCCGGTTTTCTCTAAAAGATTTCATGCCTCATAGTATGAAGACAGAAATGTCTAACGTGTGCATGATTCAATGAGCATTTGCAGAGATGCTTCTAGGGCTTATGAGTGGAAATTTTCTCATTCATCCCCTTCATGAATAGGACATACTCAACTACTGGGAGAAGACTGCCCTCATTCCATCTCCATCTCAGCAGTGTCAAGCCAGCTTAGCAAGTAATAGGCCTTGAGTTCAAACCCAGTACCAAAAATAATAATAACTAATGACTCAATTTTAATGTGGATAAGGCTGGGGAATGTAGCTAGTAGTAGAGTGCTTGCCTAGCTTGTAGAACGTCCTGGGTTTGATCCCCAGCACCACCAAAAAATAATAAAATATAAAATGGTCAAAGGATCTGAATAGATATTTCTCCAAAGACAGTAGAAAAATGACTGATAAGTATATGAAAATATTAACCATATGTAAATCAAAATCATGAGATACCAATTCCTACCCACCAGGATGGTAAACAAAAATAAAGATATTAACAAGAGTCAGCAAGGTTTACAGAAAATTGGAACCCTCCTGTGTTGCTCATAGGAATGAAGAACAGCAGCTACACTGGCTGGAAAATGGTTTGCAGCCTCTTGAAATGTTAAGTAGAGATATTAATGATCCAGCAATTCTAGCAATATGCCCCCAAGAAGTGAACACCTGTATCCACACAAAAACTTGTACAGTCATGTTCATTGCTGCATTATTCAAATAGTCCGAGTGGAAATGATCCAATATCCAGCAACTGGTAAATGGATAAACAGCATAGCATATCAATACAATAGGATATTATTTATCAATAAAAAAGCAACAAAATATTGACATATGCACATGGAGGCATCTTGAAACTCAGACTAAATAGTAAAGAAATCAGGCAATAAAAGCCACATGTTTATATGGTTCCACTTAAATGAAATATCCAGAAGAGACAAACAAATCCACAGGGATAGAAAGTAAATTGAGGGTTGCTGGGGCGAGCGGAGGAGAAGTGAAATGACTGCAAATGGGTAAGACATTTGTGGAAAGTAAAAATGTTCTAGGATTAGTTTGTGGTAATGGTTTTGCAATTTTGTAAATACACTAAAAACTAATGAATTGTATGGTTTTCTTGTTTTGTTTTGTTTTGTGGTAGTTGTAGGGACTTCTTATTTCCTTTATGGTGCTGGGGATCAAACCTAGGGCCTTTCTAAGTACTCTACCACTAAGCAGCCCTTATTCTTCAGAAACAGGGTCGTGCTATGTAGCTTGTCTAGCCCTGAAATCTGATCCTCCTGCTTCAGTCTCCTGAGTGTGGGCATTATAGGTGTTTGCCACCATGCCAATCTGAATTGTATATTTTAAATAGATAAATTATATAGCATATAAATTATATCTCAATAAATAACATTTTACATCTACCAAAAAATAAAGGGCAACAATCATGACCCCAAGAGCACAACAGCTACCTCAAGTAACTACTTACTTAGAAACAATTTCATAACTAAACTGTTTCAAATGCCAAACTAAGAAAAAAATGTTTCAATAGGATGTCTCTAAATCAAAACAAATGAAAATGCACAAATATTTTCATAATATATGAGTACGTTTATCACATAAAAGCCACGTTTTTTCCATTTTATTTATGAAGATGCTTGGAAAAACACAGGCCTTTAAAAAAGGGGGGGCTAAAAGTATTAGGGTTATGTGACGTCATGGGAGAGGCTGCTCACTGGTTCTCCCAGATTGGAACCAATTAGAGTACTCACTAAAAATGGCGTGCTTTTAGAATGAAGTAAACTTCAACATGGCCTTATAATGTGAGAGCTGCCATGAGTAACATGAAAAATGGCACCAGACAGCTCTGGGTGGTCTCAAATATACTCTCCCCACAAATAGAGACAAATCAAACAGACTTTACTGTATTTCATTCTGAAGCCTTTGAAGCAACAGCTGATAGATTCTAGGAGTTCTTGGGGGGAAAAAGAAGGATCAAATCCCTATAGTAAGAAAATATTTACATGGGCCTGGAGGCATGGCATGGCTCAAGTGGTAGAGCACAACTCCCAGTACCTTGGGGGGGCGGGGGGAGAAGGGGAGGAGGGGGAAGGGAGAAAAAGGTTTGAACTTAAAAGTTTTGAAGAATGCTGCCAGGGCAATTCAATACCCAGTATTGTTCCTGGAAGTAAATATTGAATCAAATATAGGCAGAAGAAATTTAATGTTTTCATTAACCTAATAAAACCACCTTCCATAAAGGAAAACACAGTAAGAGTTGTTATTTTCCCCCCCATCAGTCCTCAGTTTTGAACTCAGGGCCTGGGCACTGTCCCTGAGCTTTTTCACTCAAGACTAGTGCTCCATCACTTTAAGCCACAGTGTCACTTCCAATAATTCTTATTTTAAAAATTATTATTTAAAAAATTATTATTTCTTTTACTCTAGTGATATTTATACAACACCACAACAATTCATTTAAAAACAGTTATAGGAGCTGAGGGGTGTTTATTACAGAGTTCTCTGTCATATGTGAGGCTGTAGGTTTAATCTCCAGCACCACACACACAAAAATAATAATTATAGGGCTGGGAAGGTGGCTCAGTGGTAGAGCGCTTGCCTTGCATGCCTGAGGCCCTGGGTTCAATTCCTCAGCACCACATAAGCAAAAAGAAAAAAAGCCGGAAGTGGCGCTATGGCTCAGGTGGTAGAGCGCTAGCCTTGAGCTGAAGAGCTGAGGGATAGTGCCCAGGCCCAGAGTTCAGGCCCCACGACCAGACCCAAAATAATAATAATAATAATAATTATATAAGTGTATAGTGCTACCGAATTTACTATTTCTCAAGGTATAATTTGCGTATATTTCACTAGTAATCATTCATGTTCTAACTCCTATCTTTATTGCTGCTGCTGCTGTTTTGTGTTTTGAGATAGGATCTCACTGTATATAGCTCAAGCTGGCCTTGATCTTCCTGCTTCAGTCTCCCAAATTTGGAGATTGCATGTGAGCTCTACCGTGCCTTAGCCTTCTAGATCATGTGTTCTACTTTTGTTCTAAAACTTAAAGGAAAGTGAAAGTTGCTGAATGCAGGTATCTGAAAGGATGAAAATTATTTTAAATTTAATAATTTATCTATCAATGATCTCTAAACTGAATGCAGGTATTGTTAGACTCTTGGCACAGCTTGGAGATAAAAGGAGTGAGAAGTGGAGAGAGGTGAGCAAAGAGAAAGGAGGACAAAAAAAAGAGAAAAAAGAATAGTTCAAAGAAACATGAAGTCAAAAAAGATGATATATATATAAGTTATATAAGATATATATATATATATAAGATATATATGTGCAATTATATATATTTTGTCCAGGAGAAAAATCAAAACTGGAAATGGAGCTGTAGGTTCTTACCAGAAGGTGAAAGAATCAGAGACCTGTTAAATTAGAAAAGACCTTCGAGAATGTACTGTTAATCTCTCTCTCTATCAAGAATTGCCCATCAGTGGAGCCTGTGAGGGAAGCCCTACTAAATCATTGCTTTGATCTGGAAGGTCTTACAAAATGTTTTTTTAAATGCTGATTTGAGAAAACAACTTTCCTCAATGAATTTGTAGGAAAAAAAACATGTAAACATAACCAAGTGAACATAAATTCGCTTTTATAAAATACATAAGTCTGGGGATGGGAAGGTGGCTCAGTGGTAGAGTGCTTGCCTTGCATGCGTGAGGCCCTGGGTTCAATTCCTCAACACCACATAAGCAGAAAAAGCCAGAAGTAGCACTGTGACTCAAGTTGTAGAGAATGATAGCCTTGAGCTGAAGAGCTGAGGGACAGCGCCCAGGCCCAGGGTTCAGGCCCCATAACCGACAAAGATAAATAATTAATTAAAAATTAAATTTATAAATCAAATAAATGATTCACTATAAACATTACACTCAGAGCCCCTAAATAAGTATATTTTACATCTCATTCTACCATCAAAAGTTGTATTTCAGGAAACATATTTTCTTATTTGGTAGTTTACTGTTTTAATTAAAATTCAGTGTACAACTCCTTTGTACAACTACTTAAGTTAATTTTAAAAATAAAAATATTCAGTGTAATTTGCTGCTGTTAATTTTATTTTGAATTACTGTCTTTTCTATGAGCTCCCCTAGGTCTATGTCAATTGAGAAAGTTATATATCTTCCTGGTAGGTATTGTACAAAAAGCAGTTTTATTTTAAAGAAAATACAACATTATTGAACTACTCACTCTACTTTATATTCATATTTTGTGAATCACATTAGTAGCCAGTAATGATTTTCATAAAACCTGCCCTTTTAAAAAATTCATAATTTAAAAACTTAGTGAATATTTTTAAAGGAAATAACACAAGACAAGCAATTGAAGTTTTAAGCAGCCTTGAAGTAAGAAATGAATTACAAATGGAGGAATACTCTATAACTACTTTATATCTTTGAAACAAACATTAAATTCTTTTGGACTCAATTTTTTAATGTAAGATGGAAAAAATTCTCACCAGCAAATTCCAGCTAAAAATTTCTATTACTCTTTATTTCCTATTTTGGGGAGAAATGTCTGTCAGAATACAGGATGCAAAAACCAGAAATTCATTTCGCAAATACCACTATACCTACAGAGAAGGCTCTTTAAGACATATTACTTATTTTTATTTTGAGAGACAAGAATAATTAATTTTCAAAAAACAGTGCCATCAATTCTTCTGTAAATTTGTATTTCTTGATTTGTGAATGCAATAGTGTCTGTCCATCAGGAAAAATAAAATATTTTAAGTCACAAATCTAACAGATCTTCCTACGACCTTTGAGAATGAAGTACTTACTTTCACTTGCAGATCCTCAGAGCTCTCTGATGACATGTACAAGGAAAGGAGAACTGGCAAAGTGTTTGTGACAGCAACAGCCCGTGCATGTTCGGGAGTGTGTCTCCCAATCTGTCCTAAGGCCCACGCTGCAGCAGCCTTAATATGATCTTCCGGTTCTTCTGACAGGCAGATTGACAACTGGGGTACACCCTGCAGCCGTGATCAAAAGAGCAACTGCTATAAATCTAGAGTGGGATTAAAGAGGCTTCGGTGTCTCTCAAACATTAGAAGAAATCATTTCAGTCTTGATCCTTTTTTTCCTAAATGGTTCAATAAATGAGCACATCACAGGCGCTGTCATTTCTTAAGTCAATAAAATGACCAGAACTAAATGACCTTCATTATCTGTAACAGTCCAACTTAGAAAATCTCTACGAGCCTCCCTCATACCCCAAGTACAGAGACATTTAACCAAACAACAGATGCCACAGATTAGACCAAACCAGAGTCTACTGTGACAAACTAAAAATGGTTAGGATCTAAAAGCCTTGCTTTGCATCTGTTAAATAAGGACTGGAGCTGTAACACCAGAGCTTATGCCTAGCCTAGTACTTACCTAGCATGCACAAGGCATCCTGAGAACCACAACAACAAGTAAACGAAAACAAAATAGTAATCTTTTATAAAAGAAACAACTTTTTAACAAGTATAATAAATCTGAGGAGAAAGTACTACGGCCTCAAAATCAAATGAATAGTAAGTACATTTTACATGGGATACATTACACTAATATCTTTCCTGAAATACATAATTTTCCATTGATTTTGGACAATTTTTAAATTATAGTTTTGTTCCTTTTAACATGATTACACATCACGTAGACACCTGTGTGGCTCGATATTCAGATCAGTGCATGCTTGCACTTTGCAACTCAGCTTCCATCTCATTTGAACAATGAAAACTGCTAACTAGAGGGCCTCGAATATATCACAATTTGTACTCCAAAGAAAGTATCAAATAACCAAATACTACTTCCAGAATCCATATTGGTGTGATTTTCCGACTAATTTGGAGTCATGGTGATAATACCCCAACAGCTTCTGAGCTGTTATTAAGATCAGTTTTCTGAAAAGCCTTGCCATATTTCCCCATTGCCTCCCTTCCAACAGACTAAAAATGTATGTCTGCCAATATGAAAGGTCAGACCTGTCTTCAGAATGAAGTCACTTTCTCAAAAGCTCATGCTTCTAGAATATAACAAGCCTGAGGAAGAGAAGAAAAAGTAGACAGTCCCTCCTCCCATCCCAAGATGCAGCCTTATGGCCCCTGTTGTTTCAAATGGACAGAGTAGACAGGAACATGAATCCCTTCCAAAGTGATGTCATTAGACATGAGGTTCTGTCATCACGGATTCTTATCACACTACATGTGAAATGGAGGGAATGCTACTACAGTGCTATGTGCTTTAACTAAGACTGCTGCTCCCACCTGGATCAAATAACTGAAAAACAAACCAGGTGGGAGAGGCCGGCAGCCCAAAGAAACCAGGAGAGGCTCCTGGTTACTTGAGGATGACAGGTCACAAGCACAAGCAACTGCTGCTGCTTTCATCGTTCTCGCTCTATGGGAGCTCTGTGGTTACCCACAGAGGAGGCAAGGATCAAAAATCCTAGTGCTGTCCTTGGGGTGGCCCTTCCCAAAGCATTACTTACTGCTCCAGTCACTGTCACAGTCTGTGGTCAGAGAAGAACAAAAGGAAAGCAGCAAGATAAAACGGAGCAAAGAATTATCATAAAGTAGGCAGAAAATAAAGATCTGAAACTCCTTTACATTCCAAGGATTAACAAAGGATTTTTAAAAAATCCACATTTCTATTTAACATACAGCAGCTGGTTTTCTACACTGACAAGAAATCTACATCTGAGGGTTGCCACACACGCTGTAAGCAGACAACCTATGAAGTACTCTTCAATATGTATGCATTTTGTGAGCACCTACTAAGTGCTAACACTGCGCGATATGGTGAGTTTATATAAAATTGAACATTGAGATAAGACAAAATCCCTAGAGCAAGAACATATGCACTCATGTTCACACACACACACACACACACACACACACACACAACCCTGCTATCTACTGTGTGCTCTGATTGCCTAGATCTAAGAAGAGAAATTAGTTTATGATATCTGACTGAGAAAAAGTGTTGAGAAGATGTTCTAACCACTGCCGTCTCCAACCTGAATAACCTCTGAAAAGAGTGGAAATGACTTCTGGGCATGTCATTCAAAATAGCTGTTTGTAAGGAAAATGTGCTATCAGTGTTTGCAACTGTGCACAATGAATCCTCCAAGATACACACATACTTAATATTTAAATACAGATAACAGAAAGCTGGGCGCTGGTGGCTCACACCTGTAATCCTAGCTACTCAGGGGGCTGAGATCTGAGGATCGCGGTTCAAAGCCAGCCTGGGCAGGAGAGACCGTGAGACTCCTATCTCCAATAAACCAACAGAAAACCGGAAGTGGCACTGTAGCTCAAGTGGTAGAGTGCTCGCCTTGAGCTGAAGAGCTGAGGGACAGCGCCCAGGCCCAGAGTTCAAGCCCCACGACCGACAAAAAAATAAAAAATAAATTAAAAAAAATACAGATAACAGCCATATTCAAAAGAGTTTATATTCTGTTAATACACTAAGTAAAACATCTCCAGGAACCTTAACCTTTCGTCAAGGATCACTTTGAGAATCCTACTAATAATCAACATTGAAATAAGCATTGAAACCACTGAATATACTTTCAGGTAATTCTTTTGCACTGGCCGGTTGCACTTCCTAGAATGTCACCATGTGCTTCTATCTTAGGACATGTGCTGATTAGGAGAAACAAGCAATCACGCACCTTGGAAATGATCACTGCCATTGCCAGGTTCTCAGAATGAGCGGCCACATAGCCGAGCATCATGATGCCGGGCAGCCGGATGTTCCCCTTGCAGGACCCAATACAATCGATCACAGCAGCAACGCCTCCTGCATTAACGATCAGCTGCGAAAGCTAAGAGAAAAGACAAGAGCCAGGAGGCATAAGATGGTCTTTCAATATACTCAGTTTAAGATTTAAAAACAACAGAAAATTGAAGTAGCATTTAGATAAATTATTTATTCTGTTCATCCTGTTTTAGATGTATCACTGGGAACAGCTTTGTTTTGTGTTCAATTTGTCATGTACTAATCACACAACTTTTATCCTTATTATAATGAATGTCAAAAATTCCCACCTAGACACTAAGCCTAGGGCTAGTTCATAACTAGGTAACTACTAAACCTTCAATCACAATGCACAAGGATGAAGCAGATATTAATCCCTGACTGCCAAAAGACAATGTCAGACATATAGCCTAGCCTAGAATGATTACTCTCTAAGTACAGTTCAATTTAATATTTAAAAAAACTTCAGCCAAATAAAGATGTTCAATGATACAAGAAATGAAGACTTGTAATGTGTCATGAAATAAAATCAACTCATCAAAATACATACAGAAACTGCTTTATCTCTTTCCTTTCACATCTAAGGACTCGAGCAGGGACATCACTGTGAAAGTGCAGTTCTTAGAGTAGGCACACTAAGCCAGGGGACCTGTGTGGTGTCCCAGCCTAGAGACATAATATTCTCACTGCTCCGGCTGACATAAAATATCAAGGATGACCAAGGGCCACAGCCCCCACCATCTAGAAATGGAAAGCTCAAACTCCACTAATACAATTCAGGGGTTCTCAACTTGGGGCAGTTTTGTACCTTAGGGGATATCTGGCAATTCTATGGAGCCTGTTTTTGATTGTCACTCCCTAGGGGGTAGAAGGGTTACTGGCATCTAGTAATGAGAAGCTAAGGAACACTGGTGAACACCTACTCTACAATGTATAGTCCAGCTCACCACAACAAATAACCTAGTTCAAAATGTCAGTAGAGCCCAGGATGAGAAGCCCTTACATGCTTGGGCACTATAACCAATTGGTGTTTTATTTTAAAACTGCATTGTTGCATCTCGTAGCTTTCTTTTTCTTTTACCTCAGGTGTATGCTTTGCAATTTCTCTAATTAAAGTAGAAGCATTTTTCTTCACATATTCATCTTTGTCCTTCAGACAGGTGAGTACAACTGGGAAAATCTCTGCTTCGACAACCATTTCTGCCAGATCCACAGAATGTTTTGCGATCTGACTGAGAGCTGAAAGGACCTGACGCTGTTAAGCAAAAAACAAACAATAACAGTGCATGACAACATTCCCATGTAACCTCAACAGCCTCATCCAAAGTCAAATTCCTTTCCAAAATGAAACCAATTACACAGCAATGTAACTAAAATTTCTGAGTCTTGAAACTTTCACATCCTTTTCTTACACTTAGGTTTTTGTTTTTGTTTTTTAATTCCCTCGTCTCTGAATTCATTCTCCATTATTTATTTATAGCAGAAGATTAAAGAAGATGACCTTTGGATGAAGACTAATTTCTTAATCATGCAATGCTTAAATCGTTAATTAATGTTACATGCTGCATTCAATATAAAAACAACTCAGTAGAAATAACATTGTTTTGGCATGATGTTAATACCATTTCAAAAGTGTTCCCTTTGTTTTGCTAATGATTTTAAAACTTTATATGCAAGTATAACTGTAATCAGATTTTAGAAAATTACAAGGACCAATATAAATACAACAATTTTCAGAAGAAACTAACTACAGTGGTGGGCTAGAAAATCTTCAGGTCCTTTCCAACCCTAAGATTCAATTCTGTACTTTAACTGTTCACATTAACGCTGAGGCTGCATCTAACTTGTAGCACATCTTGTGTGACCCTTGCAGCACTGTTTTCACATCTTAAAAGACCCAGTATCTACTATATTTGTGCTTGTTTCCAGTGATAATTTAAGAAGTTTTTAGGTATAATAGCAAGCTGTGCATATTTCTATTTTTGTAGATTATTAAATGATAGAGTTGTTGTCTCATAAACTCATTTTTAAATACCTTCAACTTAGCGTCAGGGTTGAGGATCATCTGGGCTAAGTGGGCCACAGCTCCTGCATCCACTACTGTCTGTGCTAACTCTGGAGAATGCTTTGAAATATCACTGAGGGCCGAAGCAGCAATCCTTTTCAAAGCAATTTCTGGCTCCTGGATACAGAGTACTAAAAGAGGAACAGCTCCTGCGTCCACCACAGCTTGTGACAGTTCTGTGGGTCCAAGAAAAGTAATTAAGTGAGTATGGGTGACTGACCCTTGTGCAAGCCATTTTTCACCCTGACAGATACAGCAAAGAAAAAAGGGGAGGGTGTACTTCACTCTCCCGACATCTGCATTTCAAATCAGCCTTCCTGGTTTCATAAACCATGTGGACCAATCCTGAACTGAAAAGAACACAGGTCAATAGATGGACCTCCATTTACATGAACACATTTGAGGTAGATTAGGCTGAAATGGCTTGTTATTCTTTTTTTTTTTTTAAGAGAGTAAGCAGATGTCAGCTGTTTAAGCGCTGACAATTCTGCACTTCTCAATAGGCAAGCATTTTATGCATGGTTTACAATAACAGAGAAAATTAAAGTACCAAAAATTTACCAACCACACTAATTAGGCAGCATTTTGTGCTATTTACGTAAGTAAACATTAACATGAATCTAGTGTCAATAGTGTTGATTTTCAAATTCCTTTCATTTCATAATATTTCGAGGACTCTTTTAAGATAAAATGCTACATTCTGTGTATTAAAAATATTTTCAAAACCGAGATTTGCAAATGATCAATATATATGTATAGATGATCATATATGAGAGCAAGATATATAAATGTCAATTTTTAGATAAAAGGATAAATCTACCTTAGTTATGATTCATGTCAGAAATCATGTAGGTATCTTTTGAGCACACATGTTGATTTACTTATATGAACAAAATAAGAGGTATAAAAAATAGCACAGCTTATGAAAAATGGGAGACAACTAGACAGGCTCATATGTGTGCCCAAAAATGTATATTTTCAATAGCATGAAGTGTTATATGTAATTATAGATTCTACTTGTACCACATCCATGGCCTCTCTCACTGAATCACACAACTCATTTCTATAATTTCTTCCTTCCAAATATGTCCTTATTTTTCCAGATCTGTAATGTCTTAGAAATGTATGCCTTGTCAAGCTGAAATAGTTACTTATGCTAGGCACCAGCGCCAGGGGCTCACACCTATAATCCTAGCTACTCACAAGGCTGAGATCTGAGGACCACAGTTCAAAGCCAGTTTTTTTAGACTCTTATCTCAAATTAATCACCAAAAACCCATGGTCCAAGTGGTAGAGCAACAAGGTTGTTTGAGCACAAAAGCTAGTAAAGGCTCCCAGGGCTTGAGTTTAAGCCCCAAGACTGGCAAAAAAAAAAAAAAAAAAACACAAGAAAACCAAAACCTACTTACCATCTCCCCTCAAGCAACCTTTAATTTGAAGAAAATATAAGGTTTAATTTTTCAAATTGGTAATATTACATCTTGTAAAAAATGTCAACAAAGGGCTGGGAAGGTGGCTCAGTGGTAGAGCGCTTGCCTTGCATGCCTGAGGCCCTGGGTTCGATTCCTCAGCACCACATAAGAAAAAAGCCAGA